AATCCTTCCATAAACAATTCATCCAACTGTCACTATTTGCCAAAAAGAACAATCAGAAATTACTGTAACTCGGAAAATTAAAAGAATGGAAGGTCTTATTGGTTCTTTGAAAACAATCCAGGAAGGGATTTCAGTAGTCAGATTGCAAATGCCACCCAGTTTTACTTCCTATTTTTGCTTGATAAGTTAGTAACTTTGAAGTATGATTTCTTCAGACAGACTTGTCCCATTATGTTACTATAACTCTTTGAAGGTGTCTTTCCACTGAAAGGAATGCGCGTCCTGATAAATTGCCACACAATCACAGAAACCAGTGCAACAATAAAGAAGTTCTTGAAATAAAGTTTTGCACATATTGTCCTGTAGCTTTATATTACCTTATTTACTGATGCATGAAGAATTTCTGTTACTTAGTGGTATAACAACTGCAATTTTGTTGTGTAGTTAGAGAAGGGAATGGAAGAAGCCATCCACTTCTTTTAAATGCTAACATTCCAGGGAGATTAGTTTATCCTAATTTTAAAATAAATTAATGAACATTGGAATAAACTGAATGTCTAGGTCAGTGAGACCGAGTGCCCAAAAACTGGTCCCGTCCCTGCTCCACTCCTGCCCCTCCCCCGCTCCACCCCCCATCTCCTGCCCGCAGGGCCACTCACCACCTCCAGGGCCCACCGCAGATCGCCCAGCAGCCCTATGGCGGTCACACCCTCTGCCCACGCCTTGCAGCATCAACTGTGCACAATGGGGTGTGAGGGCAGAGTCTTGTCTACGCTGCCTGGCTGCCATGTCCTTGGCTGCGCTGCTCCGTGTGGGCCACACTCAGGGGCGACTCTCCTTCAGGGGGGCTGCTGGAAAGGGGGTCGCGGGGGGAGGCGAGGCTGGGGCAACGGCACATGTGCCCACAGAGAGGGCTCTGAGTGCCACCTCTGGCACCCGTGCCATAGGTTCGCCACCACTGGTCTAGATCTTAAAAATAATCATGCAGGCATTATAATTTGAATATAAGGCCACTTGGTATCCTAGCATTGGAGACAACAAATGTGTTAATAATTTTTGTACTCAGCATAACAGAAGTAACCTTCTAAAAGCTTTAGGCTCATGAACAATAGATTTAAAAGAGAAATTTGACAGAGCATCACATTCTACACTACAATTGTGAAAGTACTGAAGACAATTCTGTTTATAACAATTTATGTTGTTTGCTATGATCAGTGTAATTTTAGTTTTTTATACTTTTTTAAAGGCCTTCGGCTATGTCCCTTTTTAGAGGATCATAAAGAAGATATTTTGTGTGGACCTGTATGGTTGGCTATTGGACTTGACTTATCAGGACATGCTGGAATGTTGACACTCACAAGTCCAAAGCTTGTAAAAGGTAATACTTTTGCCAGAATATATTGGAGAACAAAATCTAAAATGTAATTAAAAAAAAAAAGATTAGATACAGACCTGATATTTAGAATTGATCCCTAACATTTAAAATGTGAATATTTTTTTGTTAAAAAGTTGGCTGAGAAGTGTTTCTACTTTAAGCATATATATAATGAGTTTTCAAGAACTAATTTATTTTCCTTATGTCTGTCTGTTTGATTCTAGGCATGGCAGGTGGCAAATACCGTTCATTTTTAATCCATGTGAAAGCTGTGAATGACAGAGTAACAGAAGAAATCTGCAATGGAGGAATCTGGCCTGTTTTAAGGATACCATCTCTGAAACCTCAAAATAACAAGGGACATTCCCTTGCATCACTTTTAGCAAAAGTTGCAGCAGGCAAGGTATTTAAATGATATATAGAAAAAGAATGGTCAAAATTATTTTCCTTTAATCGGTTACCTAAGGCCATCTTGTTAGGATTGAAGTGTCAGGTGTGTAATTACGACGTAGATATAAAATTAATATAAGATTGACAATACTAGGAGTAAAACAGTTGTGTGTGAAACTTATCTGATGAAATATCCATCAGCAAAACCATAGAATCAAGTAGCCTTGGAATTGGAAAATACCATGGAAGTCATTTAATGCAAATCCTTGCTCAGGGCAAGATCCGTAGTCAAATACCAATCAGCCTCTGTTTGAATATCTCTACAAAGGAGAATTTGTTCTATTTCCAGTCACATAGTCAGAAAGATTCTTCTAGATATTCTAGATCAGTGGTTCTCAACCTGTGGGTCGGGACCCCATTTGGGGTCGATCGACCATTTCACGGGGGTCGCCAAGCAAGGCTGTCTGCCATTTTTTTTGTCTGCCATTTTTTTTGTCCGCCATTTTTTTTCCTTTTCCAGCGGGTGCCTTACCTCCCTTGGGCTGGGCAGCTGGTAGTCGGCCTGCTCTGTCTCTGCCACTTGCCAGCTACGCCTTGGCCGGCGCAGGGGGCGGAACCACGCATGCGTGGCGCTCCCGGGCAGGGAAAGTCCTCGACTTACGACCGGTTTAGTCCTCGACTTACGACCGGTTTAGTCCTTGACTTATGACCGGTTGGGGTCGCGGCATTAAAAAGGTTGAGAACCACTGTTCTAGATATTTATCCTGAACCTGTATTTTTAATCCATTGACTAAACATACCCAAATCCTACAATCATGCCTCACATGAGACTTGGATTTCAGATCCTTCATCATGTTGAAAACCCTCTGAATTTGCTTCAGTTTGTCACCATTTGTTTTGAACAGTTATGTCCAGAACTAGATATGGAATTCCATACATGGTCTGACTAAGGCAGCGGTTCTCAACCTATGGGTCGCGACCCCATTTGGGGTCGATCGACCATTTCACGGGGGTCGCCAAGCAAGGCTGTCCTCCATTTTTTTCCCCTTTTCCGGCGGGTGCCTTACCTCCCTTGGGCTGGGCCAGCTGGTGGCAGAACCATGCATGCGCGGCGCTCCCGGGCAGGGAAAGTCCTCGACTTACGACCGGTTGGGTAGTCCTCGACTTACGACCGGTTTAGTCCTCGACTTACGACCGGTTTAGTCCTCGACTTATGACCGGTTTAGTCCTCGACTTACGACCGGTTGGGGGTCACGGCATTAAAAAGGTTGAGAACCACTGGACTAAGGGATAGTGGAATAGCTACTTCCCATGATCTGAACTGTCTGATCCTATTAATATGCTCCAAAATAGAATTAACAATAATCAAAATTAACCACAGTTCTAACCTCCACACAGCAATTTTACTTTAATGTAGAGCAGGCATGTGAAACTCGTGACGTCACACAACATATCGGGCCGGTTTTGCCATTGCCAGCAATGGGGTTGGCGCGGCTTCCACGTGACGCGTCCGGCCCGTAGGCCAGCAGTTTGACACCCCTGATGTAGAACTTGCAAATTAAACATCCCTGTCTATTCAGGAAGAGGATAGGAGACACAAGCAAGAGCTATTGCAGTCTGTTCATAGTACACTAACATGTTTAGCATGACATACATATATTGTCATTATATTTTTTAGACTCTGATGTTCCTGATAATATGCTTAACTGCTGAACCTAGTTTAAAATAATATGCAGGCCTAACATGTAGGACATGGGACAGATCTTTTTTTGATAATATTGTATTGTTTTCTAATCATCTCTCCTTATGTAGCTGATAAAATAAAGAGCATATTCTCTCTTTCTATCCTCCTCTAATTTTTGATAGTTCTATCTTCATGCGTGCCTTGTTAAGTACATTGTAATATATGATATGCTTACATATTGAGAAACATAGTAGAACTTGTATATTGATGTTTCAAATTTTTGTATAATGCAAGATTTTTAAATTGTGAGAAAATGTGTTTTGGTATTAGTTGATAATAATTTAAGTAAATTTCATAATCTGGCAAAACGAAAAATACTTGTATATCATGGAGACTATAACTTTTCAAATACATGAGTTGTTTTTTAAAAACAGGAGAAATCTTCTAATAAAGCAGAAACCAGTACTTCCTCACGGAAATCTGACAACCTACGAGGATGCGATTTGCTGCAAGAGGTCTCCGTAACGATTAGAAGATTTAAAAAAACATCTATTTCAAAGGAAAGGTTAGTTGCTTATCAGTGAGTATATTTCATAAATATATTTTTAAACAATACATTCAAAAAGAATGTAGGTTAATGCATTATTGTTATTATTATGAAATACATTATATCTCAAACAATAATACATAATAAGAAGGGCCAACTGTATTGAATATAAAAATAAAGCTTTAATTTTTAACTTAAGTTGAGTTTACTTTAGATTTAATTAAAATCATTAAAAATCATATGGCAAATCTTTATTAGAACAAAACTTTTCCCCCCTCAAGTCAGATTTGACATGTGACAACCATACATACAGTTTTATAGATAACATTTTTAAAAGTTGTTTGCTGGCGCTTTTTTTCTGCAGCTGAGACAGAATGATTATCTCGGAGTCACCCAGGTGGCTTTTATGCTTAAGGCAGAACTTAAAATCAGAATGTCCAGCATCTTAATTACTAAATTGGCTTGCTCTACAGGTGGTCCTCGACTTATAACCAAAACGGAGTCCAAAATTTCCATTGCTAAACAAGACAGTTAAGTGAATTGTACCCCATTTTGGGATATTTTTTTGCCACANATCCGGTCGTTAAATGAATCTGGCTTCCCCCATTGACTTTGCTTGTTGGAAGCCAACTGGGAAGGTTACAGATAGTGATCACATGACCCTGAGACATTGCAGCAGTCATAAATACTTGCCAGTTGTCAAGGGCCTGAATTTTGATCACATGACCATGGGGATGCTTGCAATGGCTGTAAGTGTAAAAACTGGTGATAAGTCATTTTTTTTTCCAGTACCATTGTAACTTCGAACAGTTACTAAAGGAAAGATCGTAAGTCGAGGACTACCTATATAGTAGAACAGTTTGATGAAAAAAGAACCTTCAGAAAATTAAGCATGTGTAAAATAGTAACAGAAAGAACACACTTTTAAGATTTTCTGCCCTAGCTTCTTTTGCCCGTTGAGCTAAATGACAAACTTTATGGCCATAATCATCTTCAAGTTATCGGTAGTCCTCAACGTATAACCACAATTGGGATCAGAATTTCAGTTACTAAGCAATCATGTGCAACTGCAATCCTAGCACTCCAAGAATCGTAGGTCGGTAAGTGGAGGTGATCTGGAGTTGGGGTGTCTGTGTGTGTGCGTGCGTGCGCGCGCATGCTGCAGTTTGGTGCAAAACCACAGCTGCCCTGGAAGCCTCAGCTGCCCCACCCAGCCTGGCAGTGTTTACGACGGCTGAGTGCAGCAACTCTCCTCACCTATCTAGGGGCAGATTTGCAGCCCTCATGCAGTCATGAGGGCAGGTGGGCTGCCAATTTTGATCCAGGGACATTGCAACAGCAGTAATCTTGGGCATGGGTTGTAAGTCCATTTATACAGCACCGTCATAATTACAATTGCTGAACAGATGGCTGGAAGTCGAGCATTACCTGTATCTGATCAAGAGTGGTTTTAGCGGGTTATTTAAATATCATGGATTTCTATAACAAGACAAGATTTGAATTTCAAACCTAAGAGGTAAAAAGCAGTTTCAGGACTTTTTAAAGCCATGGTAGAGAGAAACCATAAGCTTCTATTCTTCCTTCTTGAAAAGCCTTAGCACTGCTATAATGAAAAGCAATAATAGTTTACTCCCTGTTCACTGAGTAACTTCCTTCTTTGTTATTGTATATCATTTCTTCTCTAGAGTTCAGAGGTGCGCCATGTTACAGTTTTCGGAATTTCATGAAAGACTTCTTAACAGCCTTTGCAAAAAGGCAGAAGATGGAGTTGTGACAGAACATGCTCAAAGTCTTGTATTAGATATCTTATGTTGGCTAGCAGGAGTTCAATCCAATGGACCAGGGAGGTAAAAAAAAAAAAAGGGGGGGGGGAGCTCAAATTTCTTACCTTTGTTAGAAATGTACTCAAAAGTAATGATTGAGTTGTTAAGTCTGCTTTTGTTTTTAATGTTTTAGCTCAAGAGAAACAAATGAGAGCTTGTTGTCGAAAACAAGGATGTGTCTTTTCCACATAATTCGAGTATGCTTCTTTGAAGCCGGGCGAAGCATAGCACATAAATGTGCACGGTTTCTAGCTCTTTGCATAAGGTAATGATGTTACTTTTTTTTCAGCTTAAAGTTTTCTTTTACTTGACTATTCTAGCTAACACAATGTAAAATATGTTAACATAGATGATCTTTTATAGAGCAAATTTGTAGCTCTATCCTGTAGCTCAATCCTGTGTCTATGTGGAAGCTCTTTGTAGCTCAATCCTGTGTCTATGTGGAAGCCCTTTCCACAAAATTTAATATTCCCAGATAGCTGGAGATTGGATTGCACATTGATTAAGCCTTTTCTGTGCTGAGATACATATGGATGTAAAAAAAAAAAAATTCTGAATAATGTTTGCTGATGAACAAAATAAAATATTAAAATAAAATTGATTGTATATTTTTGTAGTAATGGGAAATTTGAACCAAGTCAACAAGGATTTAGCTCAGTCCTTCTGAAGGCTTTGCTTGGCAATATATCTTATTTACCTGCAGCTGCAACTGGAGGTAAGATTAAGGTTTTTGTTTTGGGAATCAAATTTGATTTCTTTTGATACTTTCTACCTGTTTTTCTTTGTTCTTTGTTCTTCTCTGTTTTAGTACTAATCTTGAATTTTACTTATTAGTCAATTCTACTCTGCGTGTATGTTAATGTTACATTCAGAGTAGTATAACCTAGGAATACTGCCTGAACAGGTATCAATGCAGACTTACCACAATCTGTTAAAATTGATTAACAAAATATTTTATTGAATGGATTTTGTAGGTGTCTGTAAACATATAGTTAAATATTGCTTTTGTATTTACCTAAGGCTGAACATCTATATGTGTTCCTTTTAGGTTCTGTGTATTGGTATTTTGTTTTGCTGAATTATGTAAAGGATGAAGATTTAGCTGGCTGTAGTACTACGTGTGCTTCCCTGTTAACTGCAGTCTCTAGACAATTACAGGACCGATTAACACCCATGGAAGCACTACTTCAAACAAGGTAACAAGGGGAAAACTGCATCACTTTTTATTCATTCATTCAGTTGCTAAGGTTATTGTCATCAGTGACACTAGGTGCTTACAAAGGGTTAAAATGGAATAATATCAGTCAGTTAAGAATGATAATAAAACAGCTATGGAGGAGAGGGAATGGGAATGACAGAACAATTAAGTAGAATTGTTAGAAGTGACATCATCTCATAATTAAAGTGAGATGGACGGTCTCTAAATTCAATAAATAAATAAAATAATGTCCTAGCTCAATGCCTGTGTTATAAGCCAGCTATTTAAGGTTTTCTTAAAGGATAGATCTTGGGTAATAAGGGCCTTGGAAGGGAATGCTGTTTCAAAAAGCAGTGCAATGACATGGAAGACATATCTCATGGGTATGATATTGCTTAGTAGACAGTAGCTGAAGTACGTGTGCCCTGTCAGATTTTTACAGGACAGGCAGAGATAATTGGAAGAGGCAAGCCTGCAAATACCCAGATCTTGTCCTATAGGCTGTATTAATGACAACCAGCATCTTTGCTTATACCCCAAAGCCAGTGGCGGGATTCAAATAATTTAACGAGTTCTCTCTGAAATCACAGAACCCTTTAAGAGATGCACGCATAAAAACCAAGCTAGAGCAGGGGGGAGCTGCTCCATGCACCCTGCACCTGCTTACTTCAGGGCCCCCACACCCAGGCCACTCCCCGCTCAGTGACCTCCCCCCACTGGTTCAGTGAACTGGCTGCCCGCCTGCCTCTTCCCTTTCACTCCCCTCCCAAGCTGGACTGCCATGCTATGGAAGATGGACCTTACCCAGTCCCCCTCCGCCGTTTCAGAGCCAGGGGGTGTTACGGCGAAAGGCTCTGGCACCGCTGCACAAGAGCCGTATCTGCCGCTGGAGGGGCTTTCTTCAATCCCCGCTGCCCCTGCCGCCCCCGCTTCGCCTCACAGATCAACTGTCCGGTGGCAGTGGCCAACTCCTTTTCTTCCACCAATTCTCTTGTGGCTTGCGCCGTGACCAGGGGGGTACAAGCCTCCCCTGCCAGCTCCCTCCGCCAGCCCTGGTATCCCTCTGCCAGCCCTCCGTCGCCGCCACTGCGCACCTGCTTGCACAAAGCAGCAGTCCATGTGGGCTGCCTTCTTCCCAGAAAGAGAAAAAGGGAGAAAGGGAGAAAGGCAGCTTATGGTAGCTTCCTTCGCCTCCCCAGGTGTCCTTAAGTCTTCCTTCCTTCCTTCTGCTGGTCCGCACTTTCTTGCTGCCTTGCATCGGCTGGCGTCTCCCTTCTCCGTTCTGGAAATGGCAGCCCCGTTTTCTGTCACTTTCCTCCCGGCAGAAGGGAGGAAAGGAAGGACGCTTCATATGGAAGGATGCTAAGCTCCGGGGAAAACTACTCCAGCTGTAGCTGGGCGAGGAAGGCCAGGGTCTTGCAAAGCCCTTGGGAAGTGGATTTGCTTCCCGCAGGGTTGGCCTCGACACCTGGTTCAGATGGCAAACAGAAGAGCTTTGCTCTTTTTCTCCAGGAGGCCCTTTGAAATTGTCCCCCCCCTTCGCTTTTCTGCCTTAAAATCCAGAGCAAACACATTTTCCTCCTGATCAGCTGAGGATGCGGTTGCTGAGTGTCTGCTCTGGATTTTAAGGCAGAAAAGTGAAGGGGGGGAGCAATTTCAAAGGGGCTGGAGAAAAAGACCACAGCTCTTCTGTTTGCCATCTGAAGCCGATGCCGAGGTTAAATATATTACATGTACCAAGGAACACCCGTAATTGCTGCACTTGAGCCCCGTGTGGTGAACTTTTTAAACATACTTTTTAGTAGGTACTTATCCTTTGTGTTTGAAATAATATTAGGCATGTTGTTTTATTTTCGCATTGTTTTTAAATAGCTATTTACTGAATATACTTCATGGAAATGTCAATTTCTTGTTTCTTAAAACATGTAATAGTATTGGTCATTCAAATTCTTAATGCTATATATTCAATTGATTTTATCCCATTAATCAAATTTACATTGCTTATCACCTAGTGTCCTGCATTACATTGTTTTTCAGGTATGGGTTATATAGTTCACCTTTTGATCCGGTGCTCTTTGATTTGGAAATGAGTGGTTCTTCTTGTAAGAATATATATAATAGCAGCATTGGCGTTCAGTCAGATGAAATTGATTTATCTGATGTTCTCTCAGGTAAGCCCATGTATCTGCTTGTAACTGTGAAGTCAAAAGATTTTTTTTTTATAGTCACTATTGTTTGCTTTTGGCAACAACTTTATATAATTTTCATGTTGCAATTTGTCATTGAAGAAAATCAACCTCTTCAAAATAGGCTGAACTTACTTTGTGTTCAACAGAGTTACATTGCCACAAGGAAATGGTTGTTTCTTCAGATTAGGTCAGCCCTTTGAGATAGGTCAGGGCAGGATACAGATCTGTAGGGACATCTGGAACTCAATTAATGCAGGATATAATAACCAAATCTTCAAAACTTGACAGAGTTCCTTTGTCTCTCATCTTATACCCAAAAGAATCAAGGCAAGGCAATTTTGAGTTTCCCTAGGAATATGTATAATTTGTTTTATCTCAATATGATAATTTTGAATATTCTGAGATCAGAACAAACAGTCGATCTGTTTTTAGTGGCATTGTTCTGAATGTTCTGATTAGAGGAAGCAATTTTAAAATTAGTATTTGGAATTTCCCAAGGAAAACAAATTTTGTTTTTTATATCAGAGGAAAAGATTCCAGTTGCTTTGAGTTTGATTCCAATGGAACATTCTGACAGAACATTGAGTTTTATCATGAAATAAAACCTACTCCCTGTTTGGATCACTCTTAAAAACAATAAAAGAGGTTAGGACTACAGGAAAATTGGAGACGATTCTTTCCCTCCACTATGAGAGCAAGCTTGAGCTGAATCCAAGTTCATTCTTTGAAAAAAAATCACTGATAAATTTGGTTTTGACCAATCATGCAAACCGGTATATTAAATTGTTTTAAAATTTTGAATCTAAAGCGTCCAATTGTGTGTGGAAGCCATTTTAACTCTTAAAAGGAGAGTAGGAGTTGCTAATTTTTCTATGGTACTTCTTTCTGGTGTAGTTTCTTTGTGTTTTCATGCCATGTGAATTGTACTAAAATATAGAAGAAGTGAGGCTTGAGATGTACAAGTTGTATGTTTCTCTTATATGTGTTAATTACATACATAGGGGGTTTTTTGGTTTGGATTGGGTACTTAGTCATTTATCTTTTCTTCTCCCCTCATTTTATATACATGATAGCAGTAAAAATTAAAACGTTATTTCTAGTTATAATACAAGTGAATTGAATATATTATTTTTTCCCAATTCAGGGAATGGAAAAATCAGTAATTGTACAGCAGCTGAAGGTAGTTTTACTTCCCTCACTGGACTTTTAGAAGTTGAACCTCTACACTTTACTTGTGTTTCAACCAGTGATGGAACAAGAATAGAAAGGGACGATGCAAGTACGTTTACCGGTATATATATATTTATTACTTTTTTCTATGTAAGCCAAACTGTATTAATAGTCCAGTGTAATCTTTCCAATAAGAAAGCTATGATGAATTTGAGCTATTAATTGTTAAACAAAGGATATTGACACATTGTAATTAATCACATTGTAATTCAAGACTTAATTTAATGATGAGAAAAGTCTGCCTGCCTTGGAAATCAGTATTTTGATTTCCCTATTTGCACAGTGAATGTTGAATCAAAGTTCCATTAAATTTATTTATTTATTTATTTATTTGAATTTGTATAGCGCTCTATCTCCCTTATGGGACTCAGGGCGGTGGACAGGCGATGATAAAAATCACAATAAATATAGTCAAATTTCTATTCTAAAATCAAATTAAATAAAAGGCCTGCTCTAAAATACCCTATATAAAACCTTTACTAAAACATAATTAAAACTATGCCAGGCCGGCCGCCCGGAATAAATGGGTTTTCAGGGCTCGGCGAAAAAGGCGCAGGTCCGCAACTGTACGTAGGTCGGGGGGGGGTAGGTCATTCCAGAGGGCAGGAGCTGCCACAGAGAAGGCTCTCCCCCTGGGGGTCGCCAGCCGGCATTGACTGGCCGACGGCACCCTAAGGAGGCCCTCTCTGTGGGAGCGGACTGGTCGGAGGGAGGTGTTTGGTAGAAGGTGTTTGGTAGAATTTAATGATGAGAAAAGTCTGCCTGCCTCGGAAATCAGTATTTTGATTTCCCTATTTACACAGTGAATGTTGAATCAAAGTTCCATTAAAAATTAGACCATTTGCGACTTTTTTCTTTTAAGATTGATTTTCTTGGTCATTACCCAAACTGTATTGTTTTCAGGATAATATTCTGTGTCTTGCTTTTCTTCATACATGGCTTTTTTTTGTTGTTGTTTCTTTGTTTCATGCCAGTGAGTACCTTTGGGGTTACCCCAGCAGTTGGAGGCCTCTCATCTGGGACAGTAGGGGAAGCCTCGACAGCCCTGAGTTCAGCAGCCCAGGTAGCTTTGCAGTCTCTCTCTCATGCAATGGCCTCAGCCGAGCAGCAGCTCCAGGTGCTTCAAGAGAAACAGCAGCAGCTTTTGAAGCTTCAGCAACAGGTTGGAGGCCATCTCTTTCATGATGTCTCTAAACTTCAAAAGCTGAGAGGATAATTCCCTTAATTGCAGAACGTCTCTCTTGTTTGTGAGAGAGAAAGGAAGGAAAAACAAATCAGGCATAACTATCAAAAAATACATCTCTAGGAACATGTAACAAACCTTCTGACTTTGAAAGTGCACAAGGGCCTTCATTGGTGCAGAAAAATCTTTCTTAGATACGTTGGTGTTCCATTTTCAAAGATCTTTATTTTAGATTAAGAACCAAATGTGAAAAGATGAAAAATGCCGTTGGATTTCTTTCCAACAGAATCAAATAGGTTGCTGTTTGATGAAGAGCCTTAGGAACAGAACCTTCTTGTCATTGCACTCAGGAAGGGATGCACGGTTTTTTTCTGCTCCTTCTAAAGTGCATGTTTAACTGCAGTCCATCTTAACCATTCTAATCCGTTCTTGTCAAGCTTAAAACTCAAGAGATCTTCTGTTAGCAAATTTCAGTCTTATATATCTTCAGAAAATCCTTTGCATCTGAAGCAACCTGGATGAAGCATTTGAATTTACATTAATTGTATGATAATCTGTATTGACTTAGATCATATGGTACAATGACATACTTTTGTATTTGAGTAATGCACGTTACTACACCGAGCAGTCCATTAAGATAACTTCCCTGAAATATGCAAATTTGTTTTTTAAACCTTTTTTTAATATGAAAGAACCATCACAATCAGGGGCATATGGTATAAGAATTTCAGGTTGTATTCACAGTGGAAGGATGTACATCTCTTGTCCCACTGAACAGAATGGGATTCTAAGATGTTTACAAATGTGTGAACTAATGACTTTGATTAGATTTAAGCTTTAAGCTTTCAGTCTCACGCATTCTTAGATATAAAATTCTATTGAATGTAAGTTGTACTAAATATATTTAAGACAATTGGGCTGCACTGGACAACTTCAGCTTGCATGGTTTATGCAACAGGTTATTTCTAAGAGACAAGTTCAATAAACAAAATTAGGTGAGTTTTGAAGTGTTCTACTTTCATTTCTTGCACCGTTGTTCACTTTTCTATGCTACCTTTTGCATTCTTTTGGTAAAAAAAAACCTTTGGTGTGTTAAATGAAAGCTGAAGCTATTTGCTTTTATGTTTGTTTTGTTCATGCTGCTTATTGCTAATGCTTTTATTGCTGCTGCCTTCACAGGCAGCAGCAGCCTACAGTACATATGCTGCTTTTATTTTCCCTGCAGAAAGCAAAGCTGGAAGCAAAACTACATCAGACAACAGCAGCAGCTGCTGCCGCAGCATCAGCAGTTGGTCCTGTTCACAACTCTGTGCCTTCCAACTCAGTAGCAGCCCCAGGGTTCTTCATTCATCCGTCGGATGTCATCCCACCCACTCCTAAAACAACCCCCCTGTTCATGACTCCGCCTCTTACGCCACCCAATGAGGCAGTTTCTGCTGTTATCAATGCAGAACTTGCACAGCTTTTTCCGGGTTCAGTCATTGATCCTCCTCCAGTTAACCTTTCTGCACACAACAAAAATGCAAACAAGTCCAAAACGGTAACTAAAGAAAAAGAAGAAAAAAGGAAAAAAAAGAGCTTTCATAAAATTGCAATCTAACTATCATTAATGACAGGAACTATTTTGACTGCGTGGTAGTTTGACTTTTATCTAAGTGTTGAGAGTATATTTTGACAGGGAGTTTTGTTAAAACCTCTTATATAACAGCCCCAAATCTATTAAATCTATAACAGCCCCAAATCTATTAAATTCCATATAAGGAAGCTAGTGCAAATAGCTTGTTAATGCTTTGAATTTTTCCATAGGTAGGCTTAAAATCTAATCCGTATTACAATATGAGTGATCAGTTTTTCAACCTTGAGTTTTCAGTCTGCTCTTTTTACTTTTGCATGTGCAGTAGCAAGTGACTAATACCAAATACAATAGATGTATGTATTGATCAGTTTTTCTTCTTTCAGAATCCACTTGGAACTGGACTTGCTCTTGCAATATCTCATGCTTCACATTTTCTTCAGCCACCTCCTCATCAGTCTATCATTATAGAGCGGATGCATTCAGGTAAAATAGTAGTCTGTAAGTTAATTCTTTCTAGGTTAATTTGATTTGAATAGCTAATATAATAACTAGGTTCCAAAGCTGATACAATGGTACCTTGGTACTCGACTGTTTCAAAACTGGTCAAATCTGGGACCCGACACATTTTCACATGAAAATGTCCCCAATACTCACCAGTTATTTAGTACTGGACATGCTGCAAAAGGAAGTGGGAGATAGCTGCAGAGGGCCAACAGGAAGTCGGCCATGCTGGGAAGGTCACTGCAAAAGGAAGCATAGGCTACCCACAGAGGGGGTCCCAGCCAGCCATACTGGGAAGGTCACTGACATAGGAAAAGGGACAGATAGGAAGACCTTCCTGGCCAAAAAATAGTCATGTGGTAAGTCACATGGTTTGTTTGGTATTCATCCTTTTTAGTACTTGTTGCATCTCCTGGAACCAATTAAGGACAAGTACTGAGGTACTACTGTATAGGTATGACCAAGGCCCAAAGGGTGATTTTGGGATTCTTATATTTAAATCACAGTTGGTGTTTCGTATCGAATTGATTTTTCTATTTCTCTCAATTTCAGGAGTTTGTTATATAGCCCAGAAGCAGCTTAAAAATCCATAGAGTTGTATAATAAATCATACTGTATGTTTCTATGATTTATTATACAACTCTAAGGATTAGAGTTAGTATACGGAAACTGTTTCTGTAGGTGCAAGTCAGTATTTTTTTGTTTGAGCTGAAAAGATTTGCACATTAAATGTAGGACATACATGTTAAAAAGTGAGAAGGGAATTGTGTGAGCCTCTTCCCCACCAATTTTGAAATAATTGTTAAATAACCTAGTAGTTCTTCAAATAAGGGGAAGAGTGTGGTTAAGGTTTACATTACATTTAAAAACATTCCTGGTTAAGATTCATAGGGTTGACTTTGAGGCCCCTCTGGGTATAGTTTGAACTGAACCAAAAGATATAGGCATGTGGGTAGAAAAAACTATTGATGTCTCAGCCATAAATTCAAGAATAATCTGTGCCAGCAGTAACTAAATTGTAAATATTAAATATATTTAGCAACACGGACTCTGTTTGTTAAGTTGTAGACCATGGCTGTTCTTCTGCCAAAGGCACACTGAGATCGTTGTATTGGTATTTCATCAAGACTTTTTCTGTTCAAAGGTGCAAGGAGATTTGTGACATTAGACTTTGGTAGACCCATCTTATTGACAGATGTATTGATTCCAACTTGTGGGGATTTGGCTTCCTTATCGATTGATATTTGGACACTCGGTGAAGAAGTTGATGGAAGAAGGCTAGTTGTTGCTACAGATATTAGCACCCATTCTCTTATTCTGCACGATTTAATACCACCACCAGTTTGCAGATTCATGAAGGTAAAAATTCTTTTCATGAAAATATATATTCTAATGAATATATATTTCAATATGGTAAATGTTCTTCATAATAGGTAATGCTCAGTTTTACAATATATTTCCTATTTTCAAAGAATGAAGTGACATGGAAAGGCCCGCATGTCTTCTGTTTCAGATTACGGTCATTGGTCGCTATGGAAGTACAAATGCTAGAGCCAAAATTCCTTTAGGATTTTACTATGGACATACGTACATCTTGCCTTTAGAGAGCGAGCTGAAGATTATGCACGATCCTTTGCGAGGCGAAGTTGAATCTGCAAACCAGCCAGAAATTGATCAACATTTAGCTATGATGATTGCACTGCAGGAAGATATACAGTGCAGGTAAAATGCACGGTTGTTTCTGTTGTGTTGTTTTGTTTCTGTTGATGAGTTAGTGATGTAATGCAAGTTGCTGAATGTTAGCAAAACATTCGCCCTGTTTAAAACACTGTTATTTAACTGTATGTAAGTGTAAATATTTTTGTTTCCTGGGAGCTTTATTGATAATTTATGTATAATTATGACAATTTTTCCTTACTCCACTTACAGGTATAATTTAGCTTGCCATAGACTTGAAACACTCCTGCAAAGCATTGACCTTCCACCACTGAACAGTGCTAATAATGCTCAGTATTTTTTACGCAAGCCAGATAAGGCAGTGGAGGAAGACAGCCGAGTATTTTCTGCTTATCAGGATTGCATTCAGCTGCAGCTTCAGTTGAATTTGGCTCATCATGCTGTACAAAGGCTCAGAGTAGCTCTAGGAGCAAGCAGGAAGATTCTGAAAGAACAGAGTGATCCTAAAGAACTAATTCAGATGTCCTCCACAGAACAGTTGCGCACAATTATCCGATATCTGTTGGATACTTTACTTAGTTTACTTCATTCTTCCAATGGTTGGTAGCTCAATTATTTTTATTAATAAAATAACAAACTTGCTATTTCATTGTCAATGCTTAAAATATATATGTTAGTGTCAGTGGGGATTTTGAGGCTTTGTAGAATATTCCCGATTAAATGAATGAGACAAAGGTTAAAAGAGTAAGGCTATAAAGAGAATCAAATTAAGGTTAAGATGAAACTTCAGCAATTGTGTCTCTTAATTTTCTAAATTTACAGGAACTGGAGAATTGTTTTACCTGAAGAATTCAGAATTCGCATCCACTATTTTGCATATCCACAAAATGTATATCTCAGAGTAGGCTGGCTCTGGTCAGCCTAGTTATTCTCAGTGTTCTGATCCCTCCTCCCTGCCTAAGTTATGGTTCTTGATCTACCACAAAAGATAGAGGTAAAGATAGGTATCACAGGCAGTTGTACTAAAATTAGAGTGAAATAAAAGGAAGAGATCCAAGAGAGATAACTGATTATGATTAGTTCTTTGGGCTGCAGCAAGGCTTAGCTAGTGAGTATAAAGATAGGGTAATATTGAGTCACTTCTGTCTTTGAAACTAACATTCATTGTATACCAGGGGTGTCAAACTCGCATGTATCGCAACTTTTTCTCCATTGCCGGCAATGGGGTGGGCGTGGTTTTGGCATGATGCATCCAGCCTGCGGGCCGGCAGTTTGACACTCCTGTTGTATATGTTAACAGATATTCCACAGCTGCAATTCTTTATACAGGTAGTCCTCAACTTACGACCACAATTGAACCCAACCTTTTCATTGCTAAGCAAGACAGTTGTTGAGTTTTTCCCTTTTACATTTTACAACCTTTCTTGCCATAGTTGCTAAGTGAATCACTGCAGTTAAGTTAATAATACGGTTAAGTGGCTTCCCCATTGACTTTGCTTGTCAGAAGGTTGCAAAAGGTGTTCACATGACCACAGAACACTGCAACTGTCATAAATATGAGTCAGTTGCCAATATCCAAATTTTGATCACGTGGTCATGAGGGTGCTGCAAGTGGTTGTAAGTCAAGGACTACCTGTAGAGTTAATAATAGATAATAGTCATTTCATAGAGAAGATAGTTTTATGAACTCCTTAAAACAAAAATAGTGGATTGCATTAAGAACTGATCTATTGCAACCAAGTATTTCAAGCTGCCATTATTTTTAATAGCATCATGATATTTGGAGTACCTTCCAACTTATAATATATAAATAAGAGAGATTTGATGGGGTAGCATCTTTAACTGGGAAATGGCCTAAATTTTATTCACACAGTTCTTGTTTTCTCTTGATAAGACAGTCAAGAGATTTCCAGAGATTTTGCAATCATGCAGAATTAATTAAAATATAAAAAAATAAAAAATTTAAAGGACCACATAAAGATAAAAAAACAACAAGCATATTTCCTTTCATGTGAATGCATCATTCAGTTTGATTTTCATGTCAGCCCAAATACCTTCAGGTGATACCTAAACTGCCTTTTTTCAGGAACTGGGAAGAAATCTTCACTAGTGAATCTTAGTGAGTTGAGGAAGATCTAGTCTACAGGCTTAGGAAAGGGAATGTTTTGTTTGTGGGGTGTGTGTGTGTGTGTGTGTGTGTGTGTGTGTGTGAGAGAGAGAGAGAGAGAGAGAGAGAGAGAGAGAGAGAGAGAGAGAGAGATATTTATATCTTGATGTGTAAAACCAGCTTCTGTGTTTTTTAGAAGTATCCATGTGTTGTTTTTTTAGCGGTTCACCTTTTCATAAAAATAGAAGATGAAAGGTTTCTAAATCTGTTAAATTAAATGATGAATGGCATATTTAACTTTTTATTACATTGTAAGCCACCCAAAATTGCTGTATTAGTGAGATGAGCAGTATAGAAATTAATTAATTAGTTTAGCAGAAACCTGTGAGACAGCTAGCATATTGTCACTGCTAAGATACATCTTGAACAAACCTGTGTAATCTGTATTCACTTCTAGAGTCACAATCAGTGCTTTTTGCAATCTAACATACTTCATTTCTTTTTCTAAGGGCACTCTGTTCCTGTGGTTTTACAAAGTACATTTAACGCTCAAGCCTGTGAAGAATTATTCAAGCACTTGTGTATTAGTGGGACTCCCAAAATACGTCTGCACACAGGTCTTTTACTCGTTCAGCTATGTGGAGGTGAAAGATGGTGGGGACAGTTTCTCTCAAATGTCCTGCAGGAATTGTATAATTCAGAGCAACTTCTTATTTTTCCACAAGACAGGTACTTTTCACATTATTTTTAACATATCATCAAGCAGCATTCAGTCTATTTATTATTGAAATATAGAAAGATAGGCAAGAGGGAAAAAGCTTTATAATAATTGTAATAATTTGCAGTTGTAATAAATGAAGACCATCATGATCATAATTAAGTCTGTAAGTTGTTGAAACGTGTTAAATTTCATCATAGGGATCTGCATATTGATGTACATCAGCGGTTCTCAACCTATGGGTCGCGACCCCATTTGGGGTCGATCGACCATTTCATGGGGGTCGCCAAGCAAGGCTGTCCGCCATTTTTCCCCCTTTTCCGGTGGGTGCCTTACCTCCCTTGGGCTGGGCCAGCTGGTGGTCGGCCTGCTCCGTCTCTGCCACTTGCCAGCTACGCCTCGGCCGGCGCAGGGGGCGGAACCACGCATGCGCGGTGCTCCCGGGCAGGGAAAGTCCTCGACTTACAACCGTTTGGGTAGTCCTCGACTTACGACCAGTTTAGTCCTTGACTTACGACTGGTTTAGTCCTCGACTTACGACCGGTTGGGGGTCGTGGCATTAAAAAGGTTGAGAACCACTGATGTACATAGTCTATAATGGAACTGCAAAAAATTTGTAATCTTTATATTTAATACTATCAATTTGCTTTAGTTCTTTATGCCTTAAGAACAAAAGAGAAATAAATGTTTGATTTCCTAGGATCAGCTTTTTCTCTCTCTCTCTTGTGAAGTATTACTACTTATTAAAGCAGCCAGGAATATTTTAAACGACTTACTTTTTATATTTAGGGTCTTCATGTTGCTTTCTTGCATTGGTCAAAGATCACTCAGCAACACTGGTGTCTTAGAAAGTTTGTTGAATCTCTTGGATAATCTCTTGTCTCCTCTTCAGCCTCAATTACCTCTCCACAGATGCTCAGAAGGTATCAAACGTTTCTAAAATAATATTAGAATTTTTTTTATTTTTTTTTTAAAGTCAGTCTAGCTCTGTTAGTGTAATTGTTTTTTTCAGGATTGTAAAATGCAATCTAGATCATGATTAGTTGGAAACAGAGAGATAACAGAAAACCTTAATTCCATCTATTGATTGTCTGCTATGAGGGGTGCAAGTCCACGCACAAGAGCCCTATCACGGAGGCTTAGAAGAAAAATTGAACTGACAAATTCAAAGGCACCGATTGCACACTAATTTGACTGAATCTAATTTCAAAGTATTCATTTTAGGTATTAAAATTTATTCCCAAGTAGTTGAACAAATAATTTCTTCACATGATTATCAAAATTTAAGCATTCTTTTTTTTTTCTGCTCTTTTATGTGAGAACAGGAGAAACAGATATATAAAATATTTTGAGATTCTGGAAAAAAAATCTGTTATATTTTGTCTTAATAATTACAAACAAATTCTCTTATTTTGAAGGCGTTCTGGACATTCCTATGATTAGCTGGGTTGTAATGTTGGTATCTAGACTCTTAGACTATGTGGCAACAGTGGAAGATGAAGCAGCTACATCTAAGAAGCCTTTGAATGGAAAAGAGAGAGAAAGATTCTTGACAGGTGTAGTATATATTACTTAAGATGGTAAAACCTATTTATGAGCATACAGTCTCTGAAAAAGGGCAGTCATCTTTGCATGGAATAGTAAACTACAATTTTGGATAAATCTTATTGTAAAGAGCTATGAACTTGTGACTGCATCTTTGTCAGGTGTCAAAGATCAGGTCCACATGTGAAGGTCCAATTAACCTGATTTATTGCTAATCATGCCTATGCACAGGAATCTTCTCAACTAATGGTTAGCACCTGCTTGGGGTTAAATAATGGCATTCAAGGATGGGGGGAATTGGACTTACTTCGCTTGTAACTATATAGAGATTCTAGGCTGATCCATCTTTTAACTCCATCCCCAGGTTCTGCCAATCCTTCTTTTACAATCTTCTTTGTATTCCACCCAATCATTATGACTGCTAAACTAACCATTAATTGAAAGCTTAGAATATTACTGGAATTGAAGATCCTGCACTGTTATTCCAAAACAAGATAATCTGAATTTTCCATTTTAGATGGAATCAGTATCACAATTTCAGACACTGAAATACTTGCTAGCTCAAGTAATCAGCTAATCAGTAGCAAGTAGAAACAAAGAAAAAAAAGGTTGTGTATGCTGGGCATCCATGTTCCCCAGCCTAATGAGCACTGTCATTATGTTAGAAAAATTATGTATTTATTTGACAAATTTCCAGGGTACCATTTGTTCAGCGCCATGGTTGTTGAGCAAATGTCCATTAAATAAATATCTGTAATAACCAACAGGTAGCCAGCTTCATTTCTGTCCATCTATCAATATATCAATTGTCCATCTGTTTAAAAAAATGCTTTAAAAATCAGACAGGTCAAAGAATTTGCTGTATGCCAGGGGACATATCTGCAGGCATATTAATTCTCAATGGTATAATAAATACTTTTGGATTAAGTATTCAGAGAAAGGTAGGGAAGGGCAGCACTTGATGTCCAGAGCTGAAAAGGTGATACAAAGGAGCAGTAAGTGTATATGCACGTGCTTAAACCAAGTACTTCTTTTCCTGGGGTAAAACAGTAACTATGCAGTCCAAGAAAAATGCATATTTGAGTTAAGGAGCTACCAGTAGTGTACCCATGTCCAGTCCACTTTTTTTTCCTTTTTTTTTCTTTTTCTTCAGATCTGAAATACTGCTTATGTACATTATGTTGATGATTAGCATATGGTTGATAGGAAAAGACTTCATTATTCGGGATAGAAATTCCTCCCACTTGAATAAATAAATATTATAATCTAAGGTTGGGAGAGTCTTTTGATTTGGGATTTTGTTTACTTGTATTTGCTTATAATTTTGTATTATAGAAAACAATTGTCTGCTATTTATCTGCCTGTTTGAATCGTTAGCCCTTTTTACATTAAAATGAATTCCAGAGTGGAATACAATACTCATGCAGAGTTACAAAAACAAAAATATCAAACAGTGTAAGCCACACATTAAATAACAGAGCAGGGTTAGTAGGCTTTTAGGTGACATAAAAGCTAGCTGCAGTTTTCTCCCTTCCCCCCCCATACATGTTTCAAAAATGGTATACCTCTGAAGTTGTACCTTATGCTTTATACTAATGGATGTATGGTCCTCAGATTTTTGGATAATTTTCCAATTGTTTGATTAAGAGATAAAGACGTTTAGTTAAACTTAATTTCAAAATATACAGTACATAAAGTAATTGAATAGTTTCTTAGCAAAGAGAAATATTTTGGGATCTTAATTGTTACAAAAGAATGTTCTAAGGTACACTCAGTTTTAGGCTGATTTCAAGGTTTTACATCAAGCTGTAATCAAGCAGTTCCTGTTCAGTTCCCTGTGGTGAAATACACTACAAAACAGTTCACACTGCCTCTGAAAATGCTGCTATGAAAGCTGGTGAGATGTCAGGATAATATAAGATGAAGCCAAGGCCATTCAGCCTAAAAGCTCATCATTGGCTGATATACACAGATTCATTGCATAGGACTTCCTTTTTCATCTGATTTTCTTGTGCAGTATTCAATGTCTTTTCTGCTTTCCTATTAAAAAGACTTACTTGTTTGATCGTTCAATTAACATTTCATTTAAAAAAATCCCCGTTTTGAAGATTGAAAGCTACCTGTTTCTAAATACCATCTCTGGTCCTTTCAGTAAAGCTAAATCAATTGTTTCCCTAGCATCCAAACAATAATTCAATTAATGCTGTATCCTTAAACAAATTAACAAAACATATATTTTTTTCTTTTTTCAAGATATGCGTACTGATTTTTTGTTTGTATGTCCTCTTTGTGTAAAACATTGACTACCAAATTTGAAATATTATTTTGTTTTGCTTTTCAGGCAATCAGTGGAGTTTCATTAACAATAATTTACATACACAGAGCCTCAATAGATCTTCAAAAGGCAACAGTAGCTTAGATAGGTTATATTCCAGAAAGATCAGGAAACAACTTGTTCATCATAAACAGGTAACCTCTAGCTCATATTAATGATTTTCTTTTTCTAAATTATATTAGGATATTATGATTTTGAGACGCAATTCATGTTTTATGTTCAGAGCAATATTTTATAAGTTAGGTAGCATATAGCTGGACTGCACTGAAGCAAGTTAAAGGAACTTCCAGTTGCCTGACTTTCCCACAGCAACCATGAACCTAACTGAAAGCGTGGCTGATACTGACAATATAATAATTGCAGACAAGGGTCCTAAGGAAATCCTATGCGTGCCCTGCAGGGTGGAATAAGAGATTTTCACCATCTTAGTAGAAGAAGAGTTCACACAAGTGTGAAACTTTGGAGGGAATAATGTGAGAAACCACTTTTCTAATTAACTTGCTCATTATAAACTATTTGGAAAACTTGACAGTGAGTACAAACACACAGCAAATATCTGCTCCTATACAATGTTTGAAGCCTCACCAGTTTCTGCACCCTTAAAACTGTTCCTGAAACTGGCTTTATAATTCAGATCTGTTGACAGCCTGTTAAAGTTTTATAAATATAAAAACTAAAATTTTAAAAACTTTAACTTGACCATCCTATGAAAGTGCATATCTATTTTGCATCTTATTATACATTTTTATATACTGTTAACATTTTCTTTTAGCAACTTAACTTATTAAAAGCAAAACAGAAGGCTTTGGTGGAACAGATGGAAAAAGAAAAAATACAAAGCAACAAAGGATCATCCTATAAACTTTTAGTAGAACAGGCAAAACTAAAGCAGGCCACGTCAAAGGTATGATGTTCTGCAATTATATTTATTGTCTTGCGCAGAAATATCTTTTTCTGCAAATTCAAATATGTTTTGGGTTCATTTTTTCCATATATGATTTCATTATGCCTCTTAAGGCCTAAACTGTTGATTCAGTTACCTGCTATATCTCTGGTTTTAGAACTAATCAATTATAATATAGGTACCTGTTCATATGTATGTATGTATATGTACATATATTTTATGTAAACTACTTTCTAAATAATGCTGTGGGTTATTCACATCAAGATAGTTCCTTATAATAAAAATTAAGATTAAATTATAATATTTCAACAATTCTCCAGCTGTGCCCTTTTTTTGAGTCATCAGAAAAGGTGCATGGGCAGTATTCAAATAATTGTGCTAATAATAATTAGCTAAGGCCAAAGGAAGTTGGATTTGTCTTTTTAAAACCACTCTTTAAAGCAGGGGTGTCAAACTGCCGGCCCGCTGACCGGATGCGTCATGCGGAAGCCATGCCCACCTCATTGCCAGCAATGGCAAAACCATCCTGATAGGTTGTGTGACGTCACGTGACGTCGCGAGTTTGACATGCCTGCTTTAAAGAAAATGGTGTTCTAATTAAGCATTTTTTGGTCCACAGAGTTGTGAAATAGTTTTGGCTATCAGTTTCAGTTGCAGTTATTTCTCTTAGGAAATATTAAGGAATATTTATTTATTTATTTATTCATTCATTCATTCAATCTATATGCCACCCATCTCACAGTTAGAGGCAACTTGTATAACATGTTGAGAAATCCTCACTTGAAGACCAATAATCATACACTATTATTGTGTTTTGACATCATCTAATCTAGAAACCATTGCACGTTCCAACTAATATCCCTTACTATTAAGACATGAGTTATATCCAGTGTCTTATCTAAAGAGTTCAGTGTGATAATAGTTGGGTAATGGTTTATGTAATCAGTAAATTTGTTTCATATTAGAATTATAAATTTGAAAACAACAAATGTTATTGGTGCTGTGATTTAGGAAATAATCTTATGTATGTTTAGTTAAATAGATATTTATTTATTTGGACTTATTGGATAATATTGTAAGCTTACATAAGATAAGAGACCACTTATTTCTTATTTCTTTTTGATTGAAATACCGTGTTATTGATGCTAGTGATTTATGTGGTTGTTTTCATTTATTTGTATGTGAAATTACTGACTCCTACAATTCATTGAATAGTTGAATAATGGCAAATGTGTTTATGTTTATGATTTATGTAGCACTTTAAGGATTTGATACGCTTACGACGGACTGCAGAGTGGCCCCGTTCTACATTAGACACTGAAGTATCAACTGCAAAAGAAACTCCAGAAATTGAGCCCCTTACATTTACATTGGCACATGAACGCTGCATCTCAGTGGTGCAGAAATTGGCCCTCTTTCTCTTGTCAATGGATTTTACTTGTCATGCAGATCTGCTGTTATTTGTATGCAAGGTATGGATTATGCAATGCAGTTAATAGAAATAAATCTGATCAAAGCTTGAAGCTTACATTTCAGTATACTAGGTTGGATCAGCAGTTTTCACAAAATTCTTTCCCAATAATTATTTGTTATCCAAAATTATGACGACTTCAGCCCCTTGTGGGAAAAATATAAACTAGCATGATTTGAGATGATAATTTTTTAAAAAACATCCACTATTGTTCTGATCCTAAGGAGTTTTGCTCTGATAGGATTACATTTAAATGAATGAGTTTCCACAAAAGAAGGAAGCTGGTTGTTGGGCTTTAAATATAATTCCATCAATATGGTGTACCTTTTCCTAGCCGTTGTTTATATATAATATTTTTTCTCAATGCATCTGTGCTGAAGCAAGAGCTGTGGATTGTATCAAATAGCAGTTTTGCTTTACATGAACTTAATTTATGCTAATTTATGCAGTCTTGACACTTAAGACATAGCCTCTGAAAAATGTTGTCATTGTTCCTGATAATTGGCAAAAATCTGAACCATCATAGCAGAGGGACTGATGGGAAATAAACCAACAGTTTGTTGGGAGTTTTTGAAAGTGTTGTTCACTTAGAAACACTGTTGATTACAGCACAGTAACTTTTAGTAATTTATGTTTTCTTGTGTTATAGTTTTGAACTTTGCAATTTCTAAGATGAAATAAAAAATAAAGACATTAGAAATAGGGGGGCAACTCTTTATATGACAACTTCCCCAAGCTACAGATGAAAGGCATAAACTAAAGTTACATATACTCTCAAACCAGAAGGATTACCTTATTTCTTCTTTTGATCTATCAATACTTCTGATGTCATTCTAAATTCCTTTACCATTATTTATAAATACATGTGTATATTACAATTGCTAAATATATGCGTCTTTATTTTGCAGAATTGTTATGTTCTCCATAGATAGGAAACAAGTTGCAGCAAAGAATTTTGTCTACCTCTTTTTATTTCAGGTTCTTGCTAGAATTGCAAATGCAACAAGGCCTACAATTCATTTGTGTGAAATTGTGAATGAAGCTCAGTTAGAAAGGCTACTCCTGCTTCTGGTTGGAACAGACTTTAACAGAGGTGATATCTCTTGGGGAGGAGCGTGGGCTCAGTATTCCCTGACATGTATGCTGCAAGATATTCTAGCAGGTTTGTTAAAAATCATATTTTATCTATGGAAAATGCATTGGTTACCTGCAGTGGGAAACACTGGAGTGGTAGTTAATTAGTTAGTCTTGAACCATATCAAAGACCATAAAATAAAGGTAAAATGTAGCAACTAATTCAAGGATAAAATAGAAAAAAGAACATGTAACAGTAAAATACATATGTAGTAAATACAAAGTATCAGCATTCAGAAAAATATATCGCCTTTATATGATATCCCAATCTATTCAGTATAACAGCTGAACTGTCTTCCATATATATCATTTTATAATACGATGGAAGCACCCATGTTCAGTCATGTAATCTAGCACCTCAAATCCTGTTCTAGAATAGGCCCTTCATAAGAATTGCATTAAATTCATCGGCAGGTATTTTACATATTGGAAAGTGGTTTTGTTCTTAGCCAATCAAAAAAAATCTATTTTTTGCCAATAACTCTCTGTTTCTTTGGGCACTGATATCCAGGACTTTGTTTGAAAATTCCCTTTGACTGAAAGGCAGTTGAGAGTAAATTTTGGGTGGAAAAAACCCATGCTATGAAATAACTTTGGTAATTCAATTTATGCAGGAGGTAGGCTGAGCCATACTTAAATTGTTCTGCTAAACATATATGGTAGCCTATCAGGGCCCATTGAATGGATGCTCTGCCAATAGATTAAAAAAATATTATTGAGTGGCTATGTATGGAGTGAAAACCTGCTTCTGCTCTAACCACTGGAGTTGACATGTTCTTGCCAGTTTCCAGTGTGTGTTTGTTTTTTTAAAAAAATGGGTCTGAATTTACTCCAGTGAGGAAACTTTTGTATGACTCCATAATTCCATACCTTAGTTCAGCATTGGGACTACTTTTACCCTAAATACTTTCAATGTGGGAGGGGAGCAAGGTACCTGGATAATTATATTTAGTTTATATAATCTTTTGGTACTTATCTCAGCCCCCACCAACCTTCTTTTAAAATGATTTATCTATGACCCTGTGTTGGTAAAAGCAACTCTTAAATAAGTGAAAGAATTCATTTGTCCAGTAGACTTCCCATTCAACTGCTAATTTTCCAGGCTCCTTGTTAGATTTCAGAAATTGAATAATAAGTTTGATTTCTGACATTGATACCAGAGGCTATGGAAAAGGTTTTCAAATGCTAAAGGATCAATAGTTTGGGAGGCCCTCAAAACCCTCCCAAATTAAAGCTGGGATAAGAATATAAAATTGGAATTTATATTTCTTCAATAAAATAGTTGGGGTATTCGAAAAGAAAAATGTGTTTGTCCCTTTTGCTAAAATTTCAAGTGCTGACTATATTTTAGTTGTGTATAAAATTTTATAAAGTTTAAAAACTTTAAAATTTTATGTTGTTGTTTTTAATGGATAGAATATCCCTAGGCCTGGCACATCACTGTTATCTGTAATTTTCTAGTACATAGATAGACTCAAACCAATTAGAACTTATTTGCTGTCAGTGTGTGGTATCTGAAATATGTTTATAAAGCCCTACAAATTTTACTATTGATTTTCTCAATAGTGCTTAAAAAATTAAAAAAAGTTTTTTTTAAAAAAGACCACACATTTATGCCTCATATTTTTGAAAAAAGCTGATATGCAAAACTGCCATGAAACATGAAACAGTTTGTTTAAAATGTGAGGTGAATATTGCACATGCCAAGGCAATTGATACCCATCTCTGACTATTTTGGTAACTCTTCCCTATACCATTCAGGAGAACTGTTGGCTCCAATAGCTGCTGAAGCCATGGAGGAGGCAGCAGTAGGAGAGGAGGCGGGGACTTCAACTGTAGATTCAGATGATGCTCTTCAGCAGTCTGCAGTTCAGTTAGTGGAAACTATTGATGAGCCGTTAGCACATGACATTACAGGTAAATAAATATAACTTGCATAATGGCATTGAATTGTTTAAAACTGTTGGTTTTTTGCCTTGGCAATTCTGCTAACCATTCTTGAATTTCAGTAGTTGTTGAAAACTTATACCATTCTGTTGATGTCAAGTAGAACTAAGCAGCTGAAAAGCTGATGCAATCCATAGCAGGTGCAAATCTCCACAGCGGGTGTATCCAACCTGCAGCCCATAGGCCACAAGCGGCCCTAGACAGCTAGTAATGTGGCCCCACAAGATAATAAAAAAAAATTAAAAAATGAAGTTGATTATTTATATGCAGTCCAAGACAATTCCTCTTCCCTTGGTGTGGCCCAGGCTAGCCAAATGGCTAGACAACCATGAGCTAGAGCAGGGATCCCCAACCTTGGGCACTTTATGACTTGTGGACTTCAACTCCCAGAATTCCTCAGCCAGAATTCTGGGAGTTGAAGTCCACAAGTCATAAAGTGCCCAAGGTTTGAGACCCCTGAGCTAGAGCATAGCTTAGCCTCATTTTACTTTCCTCCCCCATATTTTTGTGCATAATAGAAATTAGAAACTCACATTTCAAGACTTGGAGAGGATGTAGACAAAGAATTTATGTTTTCCATTGCGGACTATAGATAATCCTCCACTTATAACCACAAATGGGCACAGAATCTTGTTATTTGATCGGAGCTTCATTCACTGACCATAACTCAATTCTCCCAGTTGCAGTCGTTAATTGGAGCACCAGAGAAAGGGTCCAGGCCTCCTAGGCATGATATAGAGAGGAGAGGACCAGGGCCTCTGACTGTACCTGAGAGGCCTGGGCCCTCTACCCACCCACACTGGGGAGAGCAATCCCTCTGCACACAGAAATCAAATCTGGCAAATACACTAGCAAATGCCATTGTTCTCACAATTTCTCTTCCCCTCCCCCCTCCCCCCCCCCCCCCCCCCCCCCCCCCCCCCCCCCCCCCCCCCCCCCCCCCCCCCGCCTAAGAGGCCTGGACCCTCTCTCTGGTGCTTAGCCGTTTGCAGTATCCTACATTCACATAACCATGCTTTACGAAGTTTTTGCTGAAAATTTGCATTTACTTCGGGTTTCCAGCAAAAAATTCCCATTGCAAACAATGAGTTCAGTTAATGACCTCAGCATTTGTTTACCGACTGTGGATTCGCTTAACAACCATGGTGATTCGGTTAATGGTTTCTGGGAAAAAAAATATAAAATCAGGTTGGTCACATAATGACCCTCTTAATGACAGGCACAACTGGCATCACTCCAGGCTCAATTATGGGTGGAAGACAAGGACTGCCTGTATTTTGTTTCTAAGCTTCTGCTTTTATTATTGTACTTATTGTTATAAGCCACTCAGTCATGACAATGGGATGGTCTATAAATTCAGTAAATAAATAAACTATTTGAATCACCCAAAGGTACTCCACCTTTGTCATCTTTGGAAAAAGACAAAGACATTGATCTTGAGTTATTACAAGACCTGATGGAAGTTGACATTGATCCATTAGATATTGATTTGGAAAAAGATCCTCTGGCAGCAAAAGTCTTCAAGGTATGGAACATAATGGATTTTTAAAACAGCTGCAAAACACCTGTGACATAGTCTTAGCTCTTTTCGAAATGTGTATTTCTGATATTAACATGATAGAATCCTGTACAATACACAGGTATCAATTCCATTTTCATTATAAAACTTAGGTTTACTTTGAGATTATTTTATGTACAAATGAATTATAGAGGATAAAGTAATTCAAATTCAAAAGTTACAAAGATGCATAAATAGATCTATTATTGTAATGCTCAAAATCAAATCTAGCACAGGTGTATTTCCTCTCATGACCATTAAGCCCTCTGCATGTCCCTATATAAAAAGCAGTTATATTTTCATTCTAGCAAATACTCTTAAAAGTAACATACAAGAAGAACAGAATTAAAATCAAGTGTAAATGGTATTTCCAGACATTTTGTAATGTCCTAATGATTTTAGAATTTATCATTTTAAACATGTTTTTTTTTTGTATGTGAAGAAATGGGAGAGGGTAAGAAAAACTTATAAATATAAAAAATAAGAAAAATGATGGAGGAAAAATATTTTTTATTACCTATAACAAAATCATTTAGGGGTTTTAAACACATCATTAAAACTTGAACACGTGAAATAATAATATAATACTGATCAGTATTACATTGGTAGAACCAATTCATAACCAGAAAGTAGACACATATTATTGATCTGAGGTTGTAAATCTGCACCACAGATCAGATTCTAGACATGTCACACTACAAAAGCCACTTAAGCATTTAATTACAGTTGGATCTCTGTGAGTATAGATTTTTAGATTCTTTACATTCATGTATCACAGCATATGATTAAAATAAACCGTGGAAGGAGTGACATTCAGTGGACTTAATGGTCATAAAAGGAAATACATCTGTGCTAGATTTGATTTTGAGCATAACAGCAATAGATCTATCTATACACCATTGTAATATTTGAATTACATGATACTCTGTAATCCATTTGTTTCCATTCTGGGCATATGATCATGTAAAGAATTCTTCTTCAAAGATACTTTAGATTTCAGCTCCTTTCAATGTGGCCATTTAACATGTGATTGGAGTGATAGTACAAAATAATAGTCCAATAATGAGTTGGGGAAGAGTGCTGTAAATATTACCTGGACAAATTCCCTTTATACTGTCAAATTATAGTTCAGTGAAAGAATATATTGATCTGAAAGCTGCCAGTATAGTTGGCAGCATATATGGCAAAAAATAAAAGACTGTTGATTTCCTTATAGATACAGATTATGATGTTAGGATACAAATACTGAAGACACAATCTAGTTGAGAGTCATGGGGGAAAAGTTTTTATTTTCAGGAATTTCAGACCAATGAATGCTTTTTTTTCTGTTTTATAAAGCCTATAAGTAGCACCTGGTATGATTACTGGGGTGCTGATTATGGTACATACAATTACAATCCTTATATTGGAGGTGTTGGAATTTCTGTGGCAAAACCACCAGTTACAACTGAGAAGAATGGATCACAGATTGTGAGTGTATCAGTCTCTCAGGGTAAGCATATCAACTAGTTTTACTTTGCGACCTAATTTGAGAAAATTCTGTATCTGTTGCTAAAAAAATACATGTTCTCTTTTGGACATATTCCAGTTATGCAAACTATGCTTAAAAAGTGTTTTATAGATATAATAATTAGAAAACTCTGGTCCACTATCCTGTTAGTCAAGAGGGATACATGTAAGCATAGACAGATTATGAAAACAGTGTTGCATTTTTTAAAAAGTCTATTAAAGTTAAGAACTGGACATTTTTCTGCCTTGGAACCATGTCTTGCTACTTCGATCAAAGACCTTTCTGGCTTGACTCTTTGCTCGCATTTGCATATTTTTATAATTAGTTTCTATCTTAATTCATTTTAAAAGTATTTCCAAATGTATAAACCAGTCAAAACTCTTATTTATATAAGAATAAATAAATAAATAAATATTTAATAACTTATTAAGGCTTAATACAATATTTACTATTAAAATATGTAGAATTTTACCTATTTGATGTAATATACATATGCTTTTAATGATCTTTTCAAGCTTTAGATGCACGTTTAGAGGTTGGACTGGAACATCAAGCAGAACTGATGCTGAAAATGATGTCTACTCTGGAGGCAGATTCCATTTTGCAGGCCCTGACCAATACATCTCCTACATGTAATTTTGCACAGTTAAACCTAAGCATCTCTGAATGTTATGGTAATCTTTCTCTTGCTATTGTAGATACTCTGAATTTGTAGCTGAATAGTGGTTGTATTATATCAATAATACCTAATAGCAATATAATAGCTTCCCAGCATATACCTAATTTTAATACTCTATTAAATTCTTAGTTCATTATAAATATATGTGAGAAGGGTTTTTTGCAGTGTATTGGAGCTCCCTGTTCAGGATATATATTTATCTTTTTAGGATGTTCTTAAGATGTTATTTCAACAAGTGTCAATTTGTGTAGCTAATATTTATCAACTTGGTGGTTATTTACAGTATATAGCAATAAGAGTATACACATAAACAATAAAAAACATTGATTAATATAGGTGTTTTATAGAACTTAGGATATGCAAAGAATTTAATTCAAATTCCTAGCAGTATGTTTGCCAGACTAATTACAGTTTTAACTTAAGTTATTGTTACACCCATCTGTTTTTTCCAAGTTATTTAATTTGGTTTGAATTCTTGGAAACTAATCACAATATTTTGGAAGAATAACACATTCAGTGACAAACACTATGTGTTTCTCTTTTGTAATTAAAAATGTCTTGGCTTTTTCTTTTTCTTTTTTTGCTAGTAGCTCAGTCTCCTGGCGGAACAGATGATTCTTTGCTACGTGGGTTGCACACTTCAAATCAAAACAATCAGTTTATTGTCCAGTTGTCCTCCATTCCAGTGTTAAGTGCATGCTTCAATAAACTATTTTCCATGCTACAAGTCCATCATGTTCAGGTACATAATTGTTGCTCTTGGAATTTGTAGAATTCATATACTGTGTTGGCATTTAGAATCAAGAAATGTACACTTGCTCGATGCTATATTCTATTTAGGTGACTCCTAGTCTGGTGCTGTTTGTATTTTCAAGTTAATGTTCCTAATAAAAGTATTTGACAGTGTACCACATTAATTTAATAAATATAGTTAAAAATAAATTTATTTGTATTTCGAGAATAGACAGACATACAGATAGATGAATATTTATGATGTACTTTTGCAAATTAAACAGTATTCTAAGGCTGAGATAATACTTATAGCTAAAGCACTAGTTAACAACAAAATTTAATTAGATAACATCATTTAATTAGAAAGCTGTTTTTTATCATTTTAAAATATAGACACATTTTTGATGTAGGATATACACTGGTGTACTCATGCTTTAAACTGTAGTTTCTTTCTTGGGATGAGTTTGCTGATAGCATTCATCCAACATATCCAGTTATAATATATATTTAAACTGGAATTTACAGTATTACATTTTTATAATGCTCTTTTCTGGATTCTGAGATGGTTTTCATTAGTATATGCAATTATGTTGTTAAAATAAGTACATTCCTAAGTTTTGAAGTAAGCAATGGAACCTTAGGGAGGGGAAAGGCAAATTATTAAGCTCCAATAAAACGTACATAATATTTCCTTGAAAAACAGTAATAAAACACGAGCAAACATTAATTTGGATATTATGTTGATGGTTTGACAAGCTGGTTATAATCTGCTTTAAGTAACCATGCAAATTGAAATATGTCAAAAATAATACATGCAGTCTACAACAGTATTTTGTTAGCAGAATTAAAAATTGATGTTTGAAATCTTAATTGCAAGTTCTCCATTACATGGTTATCTTGTTTTAAATATGCCTTTTAAATAACAGTTGTTAATAATTGTTCTCTAGCTTGAGTCCCTATTACAGCTATGGCTCACATTAAGCCTGAATTCTGGAACTGCTGGAACTAAAGACAACTGCACTGACATTTTCTTATACAATGCCAACCGGACACCTGTCATTCCTTTAAATCAAGGTGAGCTGCATCACTATGCTCTACTACATTGATCTAAATCAGTAGTTTTAAAAATACCTGCTGTATTCAGTATAATGTACGATGGGTAGTCTTCAACAGATAACAGTCCATTCATTGACTGTTCGAAGTTACAGTGGCACTGAAAAAAGTGGCTTACAACCATTTTTCACACATCCAAACATTCCCCACGGTCACATGATCAAAATTCAGACAGTTGTCAACTGACTCATATTTATGACTGGTTGCAGTGTCCCAGGGTCACATGGTCCCCTTTTGTGACCTCCTGGCAAGCAAAACCAATGGGGAAGCCAGATTCACTTAAAAACCACATTGCTAACTTAACAGCTGCAGTGATTCATTTAACAAATGTGGCAAGCAAGGTCATAAAATGAGGCAAAACTCACTTAACAACTGTCTCACTTAGCAACAGAAATTTTGGACTCAATTGCGGTTGTAAGTCGAGGACTACCTATATATTCAGGTTGGATTTTTTTTTTTGTTACATTATATGGTAAATTCAAGAACTATTTCCAGAGAGAGATGGATGCTTTGAGTCCTTTAATTTCTAAGTTCCTTTATATTTGAAAAACAATTCCTGAATCCACTTTTTCTTACTACCATAAAACATATTGGAATACATTTTTTCCAGGGTTAAAGTATGCTTAAAAAAATAAATTAAGGTTTCAACTAGAGTTAATTCTAACACTGTTTTAGGTGATTTCCATATTAAGTAAACAGCCAAGAGTCACTCTGACAGTAAGTTGAGCAATACATGAAGTTGATAGATAAATAAGTGACCTTTAGGCTAATACTTAATACACAATTAAGGAGTATTTAAAATGATGTGCAGATTGCAGAATCAGTTAGGTTTCTTTCTATCATTCATACTTTAGATTAGTTAGAATAAGTGAATGCTTTCTCATTCTATGAAATGAGTTGTCTGCTGTTGTAAACCACCCGGAGTCACTTAGGTGAGGTGGGCAGTATAGAAATTTAATAAAAAAGTAAATTGTTGGGTTTCTTTTATCTGAAAGGAATTCTGTATTTACCACACGGTAGAATCTCCAATCAATTATCTTCAAAATAAATTTTGGCACTCTTAATCTCTGTTTGTATGTATAGATAGTCCTCGACTAACAACCGTTCATTTAGAGACCATTCAAAGTTACAACAGCATTGAAAAAAAATGACTTATGATCATTTTTCATACTTACGACCATTGCCGCATTGCCATGGTCACATAATCTTCATTCGGATGTTTGGCAACTGGCTCATATTTGATGGTTTCAGTGTCCTGGGATTATGGGATCACCTTTTGCAATCTTCTAAACAAGCAAAGTGAATGAGAAAGCCAGATTCACTTAACAACTGTGTTATTAACTTAACAATTGCAGTCACTTAACAGATGTAGCAAGGAAGCTCATAAAATGGGGCGAATCTTAATAATTAGCAACATAAATTTTGGCCTCAATTGTGGTCGTAAGTTGAGGACTATAAATGTATTTATGTATACATACATGTATGTATGTATACACACACACGCACATACTTATATTTCATGTAGCTAGACTGCTCATCTCCCCCAAAGATTTGATGCCTGCTTTCTTCCATTTTTCTGTCTCTGGGGGCTGCACAATGTACTGGTACATAACCTTGAGGGTTAGGGCTGTATTACTACCTCTTTTTATTAGTCTGCAAAGAAAAGGAGCAATAATCTGCTTATCCTACGGTCAGTTGGCTAATTCTGTTGTTAATATACCGTACTAATGCAATAAAGCTGCTTCATATATTATCAGATTCTTACATGGATGTCCAATCTCGAATGTTGGCAATTGCTTAACCCTAACCCTAATTTCTACATGCAGACGTTGACATATTCTGAACGCTCTGACAAGTGAAATGATCCCAGGTAGTATGACTGTAGACAGTCTATGACAACCACTCTGTTAATTGCTGTGGATACAGGAGTAAGACTTTCACCAGTAAATAAATAAAAGTCTTGGTCTTCGTTTCAACAGAGAGGAAACTATGAAGCCAAAGCAGGAGCAAGACTTTTATACTTATTTTTTTATCTTGAATGCTGATGAAATTATAACAATTTTTCCTGCCTCATCTTTCATGCATGTTATTCCTAAGTGATGTATGTAGTTTATTTACTAGCTTGGGAGATCCAAAAAAGTAAAGGCTCTGGCATAATACCTGGCTCCCTGCTATGTATCAACAGCCCTGCCTGAGCTGGCCGACGTGATAGCCGGGGTGGCGGTGGGGACCCCCAGACTTATGGTCTTGGGGGATTTCAACCTGCCATCAGTGGGCGA